AACCAGCAACAAATAATATGATTTACCTGATGAATGAGAGACTTTTTTTTGTCAGGTTATCGCACTTTTGAACAGTGCACTCACTGTGATGTCAGAGAAACTCTCAAGTGCTCAGTTTGTCCATACACGTCAATATGTTTTTAAAGGAGAAGTATTAACAAGATAAAAAAAAGAGATAGATCAATTACAGGTTATGATTTTTGATTTTGATGTCTTTTCGTCTAATCATCCAGTCCTAGGATGTGATACTAAGATTGATTATACAAGAGTTCAACAATCAAGTTGTTGACATTTAGTGAATGAGAGTTCAGTTTTGTCTGATTTGGTCTGTTTTGCAGAGGAAAACAGTTCTAAAACAAAGCCGGAGCAGAACATTTGTGCAACTATACACCTACACTGTGGTGTTTTCGCTTACTTGAAAGAATCTACTTATGAACAAATCATTTAGGTCAATGATATAATGATCCATTGATAACAGTGAAAAACACTATTTGAAACATTAATCAGAACAGAAGAAGAAAAAACAACAAAAATGTTTTGTGCTTTTAGCTATATAATATAAGTCCACAGACAGGAATTACTCAAATATGCAACAAACAAACACAGATTTGTGCAGGAATTAAGACCAAAATAACTAAAATTACATTCACGACAAGAACGTTAAGTTCAGTTCTTAGTGAGGACCCTAGGAGAGGCCTAAATTTGCTTGTTTTAGTTTTTAAAAAAAAAATGATGAATAAAATGCTACAGTGATGCAAAGACTATTGTCCCTCAGACAGAACAGTTTAGCGGATCCGTGAGCCAGACTGAAGCCGCATGGACTGGAAAGAGAATGTCTTTGGTTCGGAGCTCAAGCGTGGTAAAAAATAGCAGCCAAACAGCTTGCGGGCTCGGTTCAGGGCCAGGTCGAACAGAGAGCCTGAGGTTTATTATTATAAAGCGAATCTTCACTCCATCGAGAAAATGTCCAGATGGAGGCCAGGCGAAGGATCTGTGCATGAATGTGGCGCATATAAAGAACTCAACACCTCTTACGGAGATCGAAGATAAGAATTAAGAGAAACAATATGCAGACCTAAACATTTTACAGTCATATTGTATTGCACAAAGCCAGCTAGAAATAAATAATAATAATAATAATATCCTGGTTTGAAAGTTGGATTCATTTTAATGAACATGTACTTTTAGATCATTTAAATGATTCTCTGAACAGAATCACAACATTTACTGTAGTTCATTGTAGTTCATTCCTAATTTTAACTTTAAAAATACTATATATATATATATATATATATATATATATATATATATATATATATATATAGGGGGTTTAAGCATTTAAGGACTTTTAATGGGGATTAAGTCTTTGACAAGCCAAAAATAATGGCTGACATTAAAACACATCCACAATGGACATTATGTTGACACACATACAAAATGTTATGGTTAAACTATTATATGGTCAAACATCCCATGATTCAATTGAATGGTAAGCTTGAACTTATTGAACTGATTTTAAATGCAATAGCAGTGTTTTTACTTTAAACTTGGTCTATCAATAACTAAAAAGTAGTCTTTTGCTGCCATTTAGTGGCTACAATGATAATATCAAATGAAATTCATCTTAAGGAAGGTTTTTTTTACCGTTGTCAATCTCAAATTCCTTTAAATTTTGCACATTTGCTTAGAATGTCACATGTGCTTGAATAACTGAGGTTTTAAGATTTGTTTTGGGATTTACAGGCTTACACCAGGTTAAAAATAATTATGATATGACTGCAAAAGTACATTTGATAATTATTTATCTAGGTTGGCTTGGGTTTCCTCCGGGTGCTCCGGTTTCCCCTACAGTCCAAAGACATGCAGTGTAAGTGAATTTAATAAGCTAAATTTGCCATAGTGTGTGAATGTAAGAGTGCATGGGTGTTTCCCAGCTCTGGGTTGCGGCTGAATGGTGTAAAACAAAATAATTTGGTGGTTCATTCCACTGTAGTGACCCCTGATAAATAAAGGGACTAAGCAAAAGAAAAATGAATGAATAAAAATAATTATAACAATAACAAAAATTATAAGTTATATAAAAAAACGTGATTAATTAATCAAAAAATATATAGTTAAAAAGATTGGAATACAACATTTTATAAATGCAGTATTTTATTGACAATCTACACTCTAAAAAGCCCCAAAGAAATAAAGATAAATTGAATTAAATGGAACTTTTAATGAAACCATAATAACAAATATTATGTTTTTATTATATAAATACAATCATAACATAAAAATCCAACTTCAACAAAAACTAAATTAAAAACATACACAAACTTTATTAATAAACTCCATTATTATCTTGCAGTGGCATTTTTAAAAGTCTAACTTGCTTGATGTTTAACTACTTTAAATGAGTCTCCCAAACAGCCTTTAAATGAAAAGCCAGAGAAAAACGGTGAAAGTGAATGAGTGAAAGAGTAAAGGGCCTACTTAAGTATGCGAGCTTCTGAAGGCCAAGAATTATCCATCTCTCTAATTAGTTCCAGGAATCTGGAGCCCTCAGCCGGTCTGAGTCATAAAGAACCTGGCAACACGCCGCACGCGCAAAAACCCACACAAACCCCATTCATAACCCAGCGTTCACTCATACCACACACTGACAAATCAGCTCCGATCTATGACTTTTATTGCTCTGAGTTCTCGTGCATCAAAAGAGCTGAAAGAAGCTCTAGATCCCACACAGACAGGTCAAAGTTACTACTGTATCTTCTGGTGATATTTGCATTTTAGTCATGAGTCACAATCAGTAGCTTTTATGAATGCACGGTGGTTTGAACCACTGCAAACCAGTCTGGTTAAAGCTGTCACATCGGTTTAGATTTAGCATTTGGCTCTGAAGCCTTTAGAATAAAATGGCACATCACTGAAGCTGGAGCAAGTAGCTTCCATAATGTCATGATTAGGGGTGTATCGGTACATGTATTCGATACTGTCAAAGTACAGCGCCGGCTGTTCAGTTCATGCTCTCCCACAGAAAATACAGTCAGTCCTGATGTGAAGTCATTGAGTATGTTTACATGGACACCGGTATTACGATTAAGACCATACTCTGATTAAGAGTCTACCATGCAAACAGTGATTTTTGATTACGTTAATCTAACTAAAGTCATAATCAAACTAAACAGAAAATGAATTAAGACATGTAGAGTACTCCTATTTTAGTCGCATTATTGAAGTGCACATCAGTCATGTAAACACCTTAATCAAACTATTACTGTTTTGCAGTACTCTTTGCTTCAGTTTCAATTCAACTCATATTTATTTCTATAACGCTTTTACAACGTAGATTGCTTCAAAGCAGCTTAACATAGTAGTTGAAGTAAATTGAAATTAAAATGGTGTCATTCCAGTTTTCAGAGATGAAGTTCAGTTTAGTGTGGTTTCATTTTCACCGCTGCAATTCCAAACACTGAAGAGCAAACACATCAATGTGCAGCTCAACAAGTCCCAAACCAAGCAAGCCAGTGGCGGAGAGCAAACTTCACCAAGTAACGAATGTGAAGGAAAACACCTTGAGAGAAACCAGGCTCAGTTGGGCACAACCATTTCTCCGCTGACCAATTTTCTTGTTCATTTTGCGACAGAATAGTCCATCCACACAGCAGTTGTCAGGCATTTGATGACAAACAAATAAGAATGGCGTCAAGCAAGAGAGCGCATTTTTGGAGCAGGTGGAAAATGATGAATATGCTGAGAATTCTGGACGAAATAGACATTATGAAGTGCTGGAATTTAAAGTGACTTTGTTGCGGGAACATGAATAAAAAGTTTAATGACATGGCAGAGGTGGTTGCTTGAGAATTTCTGTCATTGTCTGTTTACACACAAAGTGTGAGAAATTAACTGCTGTTGAACTCAAAAATGAAAAACGAAATGTCCAAAATCCCATGTGGGTCAATGACGAACACAAACTGTTGCATCAGTTAAAATGCCTGAGGAAACTAACATTGAATGGTGACAATGACATTAATCGGACTATGTACTATAACATGTAAAATGGGAACATGAAAGGAACATTCCAAAAGCAACAATAATAAATAATTAGATTATTGACATCCATGATAACAGTCATTATTTAGACGGAAAAAAAAAACATGAGTGCAACAACTAATCAGCCATTCACAAAGAATGCGTCTTTGTGCCTGAAACTACAATATGCAGCTCTCAAGCCAACTTCCTACACAGAAGCTTGCTACTTTAGCACAGCATCTGAGTTGATCTGATTGGTCCACTGCTCTGGAACTGACAGCAATGAGCGCTGCTTCAGGTATAAAAAAAAAAACCCGGTGCTCAAGTGCGAGGAGCTGCAGAACACGCGAGTCACGCACATCTGTCAACCACAGAGTTTATTTCAATACATGTAGTATTGTTTTAATATAACATTTAGTTAAGTTAGATAAATAAAAACTGTATTTACATAAAATACTTTCCCTCAACTAGATGATTTGTAATAGTAGTTTTTTTAAATAAAATAAATGGAACATTTAAAAGTTTGTGTTTAATTCAATCAAAATCAGATACTTAAAAACAATAATTAAATGATTCTCAGTGACCCCAAACTTTTTAAAAGGTGTGTTTTTTTTTAAATCTAGATTAGTGTTATTGTGAGAATATTAAGGAAATTCCATTATCTTATTTACTAAAAATAAATATACAGCAACTACAATCATCTAAAATATATCTTTATAATCATTACAAAATGACACTTTTTTCTTTTTAAATAACAATTAGCTAAATATATTATTTGATAAAAATAACTGGAATATTTAGTGAATTTCAACCACATTCGTTACAGTCATATCATTTTAACTAACTTTTCCTCAGTTGGTCTAAATAAGGCAGTTCATTTGCCATAACACTCTACAATTTGTATATTTTATAAATATATATTTAAATGTGACTACAAAAACAACATGACCACAAAAACAAAGTCAATTCTCAGCAGTACTCACCATCAATGGCCTGTTTGAGCGCTTGCAGTTTCTTCTGTTTCTCTCTGATGCGATCGTAAGCACTATTGAAGGCCGAGCCGACGGATTGATTGGAATGATGGTGCGTCTTTCTGACATCCAGACTTCCAAATTCGGAGTAACGGGAGTCTCTGGCTTTAGAAGAGGGCTTGTGTCTGCCAGCTGAACGGGTGCTCAGGGCACTGCTACCCCTGCGGGCGTCTTCAAGAGCCCCGAAGCGAAGCATATCTGGGTCCAGACAGGCCAGATCTGCAGAAGAAGCCCAGCTCTTGTTCCTCTGGTGTGGATGCAGGCGCTGGTTCACTTCTATGGGTCGACCACGCTGTTGTTGCAGTTGTTGTTGCTGACGTTGGTGGTAGAGTTCGACAGGTAACTCAGATGCTGTGGGATAATCTGGAGGCGGGTATGGAGTGAGACCTTCGTTGGCGTGGATTAGGTCCTGCATAGGGAGAGAGCCCATGGAGCGGCTGAGTCCACGGTTCAGGTTGGCCTGCTCTTGTGTTCGGGCTCTGTAACGCTCCAGCACACGATGTGCAGCACTACGGCCTAAAGATGGAAGAAAAATACACAAAACAGTTACATACACTTGAACAAGAAAAGTATAAAGCTACATGATGCTTGGTTCAAATTTTGGCACCCTCAATAAATATGAGCAACTAAGGCTAAACTAAAAAAAATAAATAATAAAAATTTAAAATTTCACAAATAAAACACTCCCACTTTATGTATGATGGCCCTAACTAATATGTACTTACATGTAAATAAATAATTTGTCACAAAGTACTTGTTGTGTAAATACATGTTTTTACATTGTAATTATGTTTGCATGTAATTACATTTTATTTACACTGTTGACCATCACATACACCTTAACCCACGCTTAAATCTACCCATATCCCCAAACCTGTCGCAATCCATAACTGTATCCCACCTCAAGAGCACCAGAAGTGTTATGAAGACAGTAAGGACATTGTATTTCTAATCTGATGCAACTACATAATAGTTAAACTCACTTAATAAAAAACAGGACCAACAAAACAACCGGAAATAGGGTCAAGACTCTCATTTATGCCAATACTTATGCATATTTTTCACCCTTTCATGGTTTACAGTTATGTTTCCAAGATTTTTACCATTCCTATTATTTAATAATCACATTTTCATAGCTGTAAAGTGCATCCGGAAAGTATTCTAAGCGCTTCATGTCACAGCCTTATTCCTAAATGTATTTAATTTATTCATTTCCTCAATATTCTCCACACAATACCCCATAATGACAATGTAAAAAAAATAAAATTCGTTGAAATCGTTGCAAATTTATAAATAATAATAATAATAATAATAATAATAAATAAACCTGAAAGATCACATAAACATAAGCATCCACAGCCTTTTCTCAATATTTGTTGATGCACCTTTGGCAGCAATTACAGCCACAAGTCTTTTTGAATAGATGTCAAAAGCTTGGCACACCTGAATTTTTGCCCATTCCTCTTTGCAGTACCTCTCTCAAGCTCTATCAGGTTGGATGGGAAGTGACAGTGTACAGCTATTTTCAGATATGCAACAGGATTTATTTCTGGGCTCTGGCTGGGCCACTCAAGGGCATTCACTGATTAGTTGTGATGCCACTCCACTGATATTTAGGCAGTGTGCTTTGAGTCATTGTCCTGCTGGAAGATGAATCGTCGCTTCAGTCTGAGGTCAAGACCACTCAAGAGCAGGTTTTCATTTAGGATGCCTCTGTACATTGCTGCATTCACCTTTCCCTCTATCCTGACTAGTCTTCCAGTTCCTGCTGCTGAAAAACATCCCCACGGCATGATGCTGCCATCACCATGGTTCACTGTAGGGATGGTATTAGCCTGGTGATGAGCAGTGCCTGGTTTTCTCCAAAAATAACACCTGGGAGGGACTTCCATCTGGTCACTCTACCATACAGGCCTGATAGGTGGGTTGCTGCACAGATGGATGTCCTTCTGTAAGATTCGCCTCTCTCCATAGGAGAACACTGGAGCTCAGACAGAGTGACCATCGGGTTATCACCTCCCTGACTAAAGCCCTTCTCCTTATATATATCAAATTTAAATAATTAAAAACTAAACAATTATTTTTTATAGAAAAAATAATATTGTAATAAGACATTAAATATTAAATATATTTTTTTTGTTTAAGCAAAACATTGAGACTTCTAAAAATGTTCTTAGCCATAATAATCAACAATTAGGCTATGCAAGTACATCCTATAGGGACTCAAGGAGGAAAAAAAGGTTAAATAAACATGAACTTCCAAAGAAAAAGACAAATACAAATCTTATAAATGGCATAAAACAATTGTGTCTTCAAGCATTTTACTGGATCACATTTGTCAGGACGAGATTAAAATGGGCGCTAATTGGCTGAAAGAACAGAGCGAACAATAGTGTCCTTCTAGTGGTTAGAATCTCCTCTAAAGCCTCTCTGATTTCACCCTGGCCTTCGAGCGACACGCTTATTCGCCACGCCAATTCCAGCCTTGTCAGTCAGAAAGACATGGATGTTCCAGATGGTTCTGTGTTGAGCACTGAAGAGCTCAACAAGAGGCCTTTTCTCTCATGTTTCATAAAAAGCTTAGCATTTCATCAGAGCTGGGGTGATTTGAAGCGGCTAACAAAGTGAAGCATGTTAAAGTCATTATGACAATGACCCTCTAAACACAATGACCCTCTAAAATTCATCAAGCTCCAAGTTGCAAAATAGAACATTAAAGTGTCCAAAATTTAGGCATATTAGTTTTACCATGTTATTGACATCTCATTAGTCATTTATGCTATTAACGACCTGAATAGTAATGCTAACTGCTAAGCTAATTAAGTATACTATAGCTGAAAAACATTTTGTTCTACTGCAAAGTGCTAAAACACATTATGCTAACATTAAATCTCAACATTATCAGCAAAAAAATAAATAAATCCAAAATGACCAATAAGTGTAGTTTGTGCACCATAAAATGCAAATGTACATGAAAATGTTAGCCTTTTGTGGACAGCTGTAGCACAATGTTCACCTCATCGGCTAGTGCTAACACTTTTACTTCCCCAAAAAGGCTATGTTTTACCAATCAACATTAGCAAATATAAAGATCTCTTCAACAACATAAGAAAAATTCTGATATGTATCATAAAATAAGCTAAAATGGAGTAGCACTGCTGATCGCTCTTTTTTCTCTCTTAAAATAAATGTTAGTAAGCCAACAGACATATTTGGAAAAAAAACGAAAACTAAACGAATCAACGCAAAATACTTACTATTATCTTTATTATTGTATTAGTTGTTTGGTAGTTTAAAAAAAACTTTAAAACAATGTGTAGGAATGCTAACTGCAGCAGGCCAGTTTTAACACTTTTATGCTCATAAAAAATGTGGTTATGCTAATTATCTAAAGATTTTTTAACAACCCTTAGCCTACTTTTTTAACAACCCTTAAAAAAAACTATGCATTTTCAAAACAAGCTATGATGCTTGTGCTAAAGAGCCAGGCATAAGCATTTCAGGAAAAATAATAAATGAAACAAAACATAATCATACATAATATAATGGTTTAAAACAACGTGTAGCAAACAGCTAAGAAAATGTTTTGTGTAGACAATAGCACAATGCTAACTGCATCAGGCCAGCACAATGTTTACGCTTATAAAAAGGTGATGCTGTGCCAATAAAAAAAATGTATTAAGATTTTTTAACAACCCTTATTTGTATAACAACCCTTAAAAACAATGTTATGCTATGGATCTTCAGAACAAGCTAAGATGTTAATGCTAATGAGCCAGTCACAGTAATTTCAGGAAAAAAATAAATCAAACAAACTAAAACAAAAAAAAAGCTCCAGAAGAATAATGCTGTTGGTTGGTGGTTTAAAAAACAACTTAAAAAGCAATGTGTAGCAAACAGCTAAGCTAAGCAAATGTTTTGGGTAAACAGTAGCACAATGCTAACTGCATCAGGCCAAGTTTTTTATGCTCACAAAAAAAGTATGCTAAGTAAAAATTGTATTAAGATTTTTTTAAACAATCCTTGCTCTTTTAACAACCCTTAAAAAAACAGGTTATGCTATGGATCTTTAAAACAAACTAAGATGCTAGTGCTAATTAGCCAGGCACAGGCATTTTTGGAAAAATAAATAAATGAAACAATAAATAATCCTGAAAAATAATGCTGTATTAGTTCCTTGGTGGTTTAAAAAAAACAACTTAAAAACAATGTGTAGCTAAAAGAGAAGCTAACAAAATGTTATGTGTTGACAGTAGCACAATGCTAACTGCATCAGGCCAGTTTTAACACTTTTACGCTCATAAAAAGGTGACGTTTTGCTAATAAAAAATTGTATTGAGATTTTTTAACCTTGCTTTTATGTTATGCTATGGATCTTCAAAACAAGCTAAGATGTTAATGCTAATGAGCCAGGCACAAGCATTTCAGGGGAAAAAAATCTCCTTAAAACAATGTGTAGGAATGCTAACTGCTAAGCTAAGAATGACAGTTTGTTGTAGCATGATTCACTAACGTAATTAAGCAAAACAAATAATTGCTCACTAGAAAATTCAAGTGTTTTTGACTGTAGATAGTAGCATAGATTAAACTCCATCAGGCTAGTTAGCTAAACACTATTACATGCATTCAAAGGCAATGCTAATGGTGATAAATAGTACCTGAGGCTATCAGAAGCCAGAAAATGAAATAAAATTCAAATCTATATTCTCATTTTTATCACTCAGTAGCAGTAACAATGCTAAAATACTATCTTTAATATGAGCCACACTGACATTTTCATCTAAAAAAAACCAAATGCTGAAATACAGAGCACACATGTTCAGAAAACATCAACAAACACTAAACTTACAAAACGAGAACAATGACACATTCTGCCACCACAGTTATCACTTTGCTGCTGAGGTTTCATGACATCTGTAAAGCCAAAAATAAACTAGCGTGAGGTGAGTCACTATCTAGGCAGGCCTGTTTTCTCACATCATGACCCGATGCGTGGCCAGATACAACAGCAGGAAAGCAAACCATCCTACAGAACACGCAGTCACAGAAAAAAAAGCACCCTGGGAAATATCCATTACTGATCGATGCCATGCCTCAGTTATATAACCAACCGGTTGTGTTTGTGCTGAAGCACCGCTGAAACCACTGGGAAGATTTGGTCATATTTTCCGAAATGAAACGCTCTGGTTTTGGTTTGTGGTGAAGCACTCGTCTAGTTATGGTTCAAGCTCGCGTCTGTGAGCACGGAGGACGTGAGGGAAAGAGAGACAGACGGAAGATAGATGGAGAGCGAAAGAAATGAGGGAGTTGGAAAGTTGGGAGAGGAACAGAGAAGAGGAGAAAAGATGACAAGCAAGGAGAGAAAAAAAAAAGTTCTTTGTTTGGCACATCATTACACTATAAAGCATAAGAAGTCAAAAGGAAAGATGACAAAAAGCAGATTGAGAGAGTAAAAGAGATGGCCAAGAGATGTTCAAGGAGTCTTGAAAAATATTGTCATCCAGAACTAAAATGTACAGTTGTTGAAAGTTTGACAAGACCAAAAGGTGTTTTGCTCACCAAAGCTGCATTTATAATATATATTATTATGAAGAAAACATGCTAATAATGTGAAATAATAATGGGATTTAACAGAACTGTTTGCTATATAGCGGGGAAAATAAGTATTGAATACGTCATGTTTTGTCCTGGGAATCATATGTGAATTGCAAAAATTAGTAAAGCCAATTTTGAATATGAATATTTTTATCCATTTCACCACAAATATAGACATATATTACGTGCATTTAAAAAAAAACAGTTTTACAGTTTTACTATCACCTTATAACCTGTATATTTATAACCAATCTGTACATACAATTTAACATCCAGATTTTTTTTTTGACTAACTGTATCTCTGTTTATTGTTTATCCTATATTTTTTCATATTTATTTTTTGCTGTCACTTGTTACTTTATGTACACTGGACGCTTCTGTAGCCAAAAACAAATTCCCTTTGTGTGAAGCAGACTTGGTAATAAAACTGATTCTGATTTATTTACTATTCATAAATAACATTCATGATCACCTAACATATTTAGGAATAGAAAAATAAAAATATTCCACTAATTAATTGCCTTATATTTAATTATTATCATTATTTGAATATTATATATTTTTGGAAGCATCCAATAAGAAGCACACTAGTTTTTAATTCAAAACAGCACCTTAGAAAACAATGACATCATTTAGAAGAGATAAAAATCTCCAGAACGACTAATTAAGTAGGCAAATCTGCAGCCTTATCTAGATTATCTGTAAATTTCTGCACCAATTTTTAGTTTCAGTTTAGCAATTCCAGGCACTGGTTCTGGCTTGTCTCTTGTGGCAGGGAGGATCTTTAATCCTCCTGTTATGATAAACCCCATCCCCTGAAGGGCCAAAGCCGTGTCATGTCAGTACCGATCCCTGCTTTGTTTATATTCTGAATCACTTCCTCCAGAACTGAAGGAAAAAGGAGTGCGATGAGTCAGCATGAAGATCAGCATTTCACTGGATCGGAACAATCGGACTATTAAGAAGAGCAGCTGTGATTACAATCGTTGTTGAATAAGACCCCAAGAAAAGCAGCCGTGTGAGCGAGTACTAGCACGTTTATGTGTGTGGGTTTAAATGTGTCCGTGTAAGAAAAAAAATAAACATAAAAAGCAAATGCAAACAAGATTAATAGTTTAGAGATGAAATGCAGAAAACACGAGCTTTACTTTTCCTAATAGATGCCTTGTCTTACATCTCGATTGTGTGCACATGTGCATTACCTGAAGGAAGCCCTTTTCCTCGAAGTCTCTCGCGGATTTCTTTGCTTCTTTCTGGAATTGACTCCCTTTCTGTCTGGGAAAGCAGCCCATCCAGCTAAACACACACAAAGACAAAAATAATAATAATTAAAAAAAAAATCTATATCACTTGTATCCATTACTTGCCTGAAAAAGACAACATTTGAATTGTTTTGCAAAGAAATAAATGCATTTGTATGGTCATGATGTATTAAATAGAAAAATTATGAAGTAGGTTGCAAAGTATTTACATTTCAAATAAACGCTGTTCTTTAGAGTAAATTTTTCATCGATTTAGAATAATTTAAGTATGAAGGCATTTTGGTGGATTACAATTTGTTCTTGAAAATGTTTATAAGTAGGGGTGTCAAAATTAATTGTTTCTTCGGTGCACCGCGATGCAGACGCGGACAATAAGGTATCGGTTCAGTAATAATCATAACCAGTTATTATGTACTGACGTCATTTTTCTCCTATGCGCTCTGTCGCGAGGGAGTTGAGCGCGAGTATTTACAACACTCAGCCAACTCAGGGCCGGCCCGTGGCATAGGCACCATAGGCAAATGCTAAGGGTGCTGCATATCCAGGGGGGCGCCAGAAATGAACGCGCTTCAGTTGGTTTTGTTTTCAAAATTCCTGACACACATTCAGTTATAGACGGCAATAACTCAAAAACCTCTTACCCTAAAAAGATCTAAAGTGTGTTTCCTACAAAAAGACAAAGCTGGTTATGTTTCACAGCTGTCTTTTTATTTTTTTCGCTCGATATTACGAGCACTGCTCCGTTTAAGCCCTCGCAATATTTGTTTAGCCGGGAGAGCTGGCGCTGAGAGGAGCTCTCAGCAAGGGACCGTCGGAAAAGTGCTTATTTTTTTTTCCGTTTTTCTGCTCCGCTCAGCGCGAGCTCTACCTGTTGCGAGGGCGTAAGTGTGCGTGCGTGTGTGTTTGTTTCTTTGGTGCTGTCTATGTTTGTGTATGTGTTTGAATGAGAGACAGTGTTGTACTGTGTGTTTATACAGACAGCTTGTTATAGCCTCCCCCTGAAATATAACACTGTATTGGAAAGCATCGTCAATGCACCGTGATGCACCGAGATATCGAATTGAACCGAACCGAAGGCATGATAATCGTAACCGAAGCGAACCATGAGACCAGTATAGGTTCTCACCTCTATTTATAAGTGAGCCACAACTAACATTTAAAAATAAATGAAAACAGAAATGGGTCTCACTTTATATTAAAGGGTCACCAAACACCAAAACACATTTGTGAGCTGTTGACAGTCATATGTGTCCCACGCTGCTAAAAACACTATTAGGACATAAATAATTCATAAAAAAGTGAAAACTGGTTGTTTTTGTGTCATTTTGAGCAAATTCATTCTTCTGGTTTAAAACTATTTTTTGAAGCTGCGTCACGCCAATTAGATCCTTTCATGTATTTCAGCATGCTGTCTGTACCTGCAAGTGCATCGTGACGTATCTAAGTGTGCAGCATTAATTCATGAGAAAGACTTGCTTCAAACCTATCAGCACGCTCTTTTGTGTATGCGGTGCAATTCTTGTTACAGATGTGTACTTTTTTAGTGTTGTTACCAATGTCCTGTTACACATTTAAACATACACATACTATTCATTGTGTTGTTATATGTGTAGTTACACCAGTATTAAGCAAGTAAATACTATGTTCCAGTGTGTACATACACTGTAGTTACATACTTCTTACACATCTAGTTACCATGTAAGTTCACAGATAAAAGCAACAATATAAAGTGGGACCCAGAAAAGTAACCATTTATAATCTTCATTGTTAAAAATTGTAGGTTCCACACAATTCCTTTATGTTGTCCTAACACAAATTTGTTAAGTTAACTTAACTCTTTTTACAAATTGAAGTGGATTGAACCCTCAAGAATTGTGTTGATTCAGCTCAATTTAAATAAATAAAACTAAAAACTTTTATTATTTTTTAAAGTCTAATAATTGCATAATAATATTTACTGTATTTATCATCAATTAAATGCAACCTTGTGGAGTGTTAAAAACTTTCAAAACATTGTAAATTCCCAAATTTCTACGGTAAAATCCCAAACTTTTAACCAGCACTTTTAATTATTCATTCATTTTCTTGTCGACTTAGTCCCTTTATTAATCCGGGGTCGCAACAGCGGAATGAACCGCTAACTTTTCCAGCAAATTTTTACGCAGCGGATGCCCACTGGTTTTACTAAAAAAATAATTATTTTTTCTAAATAAGCCACTGAAAGTCAACTGAAACAAACAAAAAGTAATAATAAGATTAATTAAAAATAAAGGAAAATGTCCACTGGTTTAACATTATGCATTATAATATCTGGTTTTATTATAATATATCAAATATTATATTTAACATACAATGCTCATTCATTATTTACATTATTATTATTATTATTATTATTATTATTATTATTATTATTATTATTACATGGTTTCCACTACATTCATTCTTCCATGGCAGAAGAATGAAAAATTTATCCCGCCACGGCTACATTACAGCTTTCTATTCCAAATATTCAGTCGTGTTTTTTTTAATAGCGGGTGATAATCCCACTAAAACGTATTAAAAAGTAAGTGAGTTATAACAGCGCAGACTTTTCTGTAACCGTAGCAGTGCTGTGAGCCTTTTTTTTTAACCTCTAAGGTTCGGGCTGACTGACTGACTGACCGATGGACCGGCCGGCCGGCTGGCTGACAGGTGCATGATGCGTGAGGCCAGCAAACCAGACATATAGCTGTTTAACTTTACTTCAGGGCGCATTAATACGACTCTGTAGGTCTATTTGAGACATTCATAAATATGAATGTCTAGCAAATCTAATAAATGCTGGAGACATTGTTACATAAACACACTAAACCACACTTCAGCAGCGTTTATCTGAGAGCGCACAAAAAGATCTGCGCTTGAGCAGTGTATATTTGAGGGGGCAGGCAAGAAGTTTTGTGCACGAGCAGAGGAAATCGGCGCGCAAGCAAAGAGATTCGCATGCTCATAGGCTATTACATAAATGCAATCTCAACTTGTTATACTGTGCTCACAACATTTGTCACTGAAATAACGCCAAGTAGTTGGTAGATCTGTGTAAAAAAGGCCTGCCGCCACAGCTGGAAAAAATCCTAAAGGAAACACTTTATTATTATTATTATTATTATTTATTTTTGATGACTGGAAATAAATACAAGACAACAAAAAAAAAACTTTGAGAACATTATAAAGGAAAAATTGATTCACTGGGCTTAAAGACACTTCTTCATTGTTGCTAAAATCATATTTTGAATAATTTTAAACTCTAAATTAGGGTTGCTGGAGAAAGCAGAAACAAACATGCTGGAAGACATGAAGAGAAAAAAACTCAAGAGGTTTGCTTACAAGTGAAAAAAAAAAACATCCATGCACTCAGAGGATTAATCAACACTGATATGAAGATGTCATCCCTACTGGACCACTCCACATTTACCTCCCCAGTGTGGGAAAAAAAATTATACACAGAGCAGAAAAAAAGAGCAGAAATGCAGCAGGTCCTGTCTATATGCTCTTTTTGTATTGCTATGCAATTAAACTACTGAGGATCATGAAGCTAAAGAACAGGATGTGACATCAAACACAAGAAAAAAAGCACAGGAAAGACTGTTAAATACCTTTTTAAAAGAAAGCCGCTTTATAGGGCTGGACTGTGCAGGCAACTCCATTAATAGGAACAATATGTTCACACACACACACACTGTTAAGGTAGTGCTTGAATGGCAAATCTTTATTTAAATTACAATTACGAAATATGCTCACAATTATGTGTATATGTTTCATATGACTTGTGAATACAATGAAAAAATACTGTGTAAAACAGTAAAATACTGTGTTGATAAAGGTATTACAACAGTAAACAACAACTACACTAAAAAAAAAAAAAAAAAGATTTCTATGGGCTTTTTTAAACAAAAAATAAATAAATTAAATAATGTTCAACCTAATTAGCTTTTTTTATTTTTTTTATTTAGCCCAAACTGTATAAATTGTTTGTAACCACTTACATTAAAAAATGAGTAAGTCGATTCATTCGCTTTTTTTCTGCTTAGTCCCTTTATTAATCTGGAGCCGCCACAGCGGAATGAACCGCCAACTTATCCTGCATCCATGTGTAACCCCTGCCGGCTCTACGCCACCCAACCTGCTCCGAGCTGGTTTCGAACCGGCAACCTTCCGCATGGGAGTCGGGTGCTCTACCAAGGAGGCTAAAGACCATGGCCTCTAGCGTCTGTCACTAGAGCACCTTTTAGAGGTCAGAGGAGTGAGGTTTACCTGCACAGCACACACTAGCTGGCCTCCGTTACACATACACACTCATTCACACACATACATTACGGACAATTTAGCTTACCCAATTCCCTTATACCAAATATCTTTGGACTTGTGAGGGAAACCACAGCACCCGGAGGAAGCCACGCAAACATGGGGAGAATATGCAAATTTCAAACAGAAATGCCCACTGACGCAGCTGGGGCTCGAACCACTGACCTTCTTGCTGTGAGGCGATTGTGCTACCCACTGAGCCACCTTGCTGCCCATTGTAAATCCAATGAATCCTGTTTGTCAGTGTACTTTCTGATTTTCTCTTATGAGTTACTTTGTCCAAATGAATCAATTAAAACAAGACTCAGCTTTTAATCAAAATACTGGTGTGCTAATAAAATCTTCTTTACAATTGAAAAAAAAAAAAAAAAAACTATATGTACAACTTGTAACTGAACTACTCTCATTTACTACTTGATTAATAAATCAATTTAGAAAAAGATTCAAACTTTTCTAACTCGTACAGGTAGGTTTAAATAATTTTAAATGTCCTTTAAAGTGCTTTGAAATGTGCATTTTATTCAAAATTTGAAGCAATCTAAGTATGACACAGTGGCTCAGTGTTTAGCACTGTCACCTCACAGCAAGAAGGTAGCTGGTTTGAGTCCTGGCTGGGCCACTTGGCATTTCTGTGTGCAATTTGCATGTTCTCCCCGTGTTCGTGTCGGTTGCCTTCGAGAGCTCCACTTTTCACCAAAGTCCAAAGACATGCGCTATAGGTGAATTGAATAAACTAAATTGGCCTTAGTGTATGAGTGTGCATGAGTCTGTATGAGAGTTTTTCCAATACTGGGTTGCAGCTGCAAGGGCATTCACTGTGTAAAGCATATGCTGGATTAGTTGGAGGTTTATTCAGCTGTGAGGAACCCTAATGAATAAAGGGACTAAGCCGAAGGAAAATGAATGAATAAATTAATGAATGAATGAATGAATAAATGAATGAATAAATGAATGAATAAATGAATGAATGAATCTAAACTAGCTCCTCCCGGCCAATAGTGTTTTGTTTTTAATCGCAAGCTGAAATAAATGCAGGGTTTTCATCCATTAATGCTAACACAAGTCAATTAAGTTAACTTAACAAATTTAAATGGATTGAATATAAAACAATTAAGTTGTCCCAAAAAAATCTTAAGAATTTAGTTTTCAGCTCATTTTAAATAATTAGTTTGAACAAGTAGTACAAAAATCTTCAAGAGCTCAAGCACATCAAATGACAAGCAAAAGAGAAGTGTCATGAAAAAGGGGCGGGACTTATCATATACTAGAGAGCATTTGATTGGTCAGAAAATATGATGAGAAAGAAAAGGTTGTAGCGATTGGGCGGGGCCGAGAGCTGAGGGAACGGGATGAGGCCGGTGCTTGAGTGATAATGTGAAGCACCTGTGTCGAGTCCTACGGAGGAGCTCTGGATTATAAAAAGAAGAGAGGCAGCAGCAGAAAGTGAGAGAGGATCAGGCCTGGACGTTTTATGTTTTGCTTTTGTTTTCAGTTTGATGTCTGTTTGTTTTATTTTCCTATTAAAAAGTATTAAAAAGTTTGTCGTTTCTCCGCCTCCTTCTTCCTGATGGCCATATGACTGATGGCCATTGATCCATTTAGGTTAAAGTGACAAACTGCAAGCTTTAGATGTTTAAATCAAGTTTATATCTTCTAAATGTGAATTTTGTCACAATTTTGGAGCACACAATCTTATAGATATCCTTAAGACTAACATTTAAAAAAAAACTGATTTTAATTTTACAGGTCCTTTAAACTGTTGAAACTCCCAGAATAAACATACTGATACTACTAAAAAATCCTATTTGTTCTATGTTCTATGTGTGCTTTATGAACCGAGACTCATTAACTCAAGATTCAAGATATCAAGATTAACTTGTTGAAAGAAAACTAAAACAAGTATGTGGGTTAAAAACATATATAAATACCTGAGAAAGACTTCCAAGAACGAGCCTCACAAGCCTCCTGACGTATGAAAAGGAAGGGTCACAGTTGGAGGTTCGGATGTGAGCGCTGCAGGTGTCCAGAACCGAGCGAACGGACAGTCGAGTGAGTGTGGAATCATCACACATGTTGAGCAGAACACTGTTCAGGTGTTCTCCTAGTTCCATTGGCTAAAAAACACATGAAGATGTTGGTTAAACAGACACTACAAAAAAAAAATCATAATTTAACCAAACCAACAATGCAATGATCCAATCTATAAAAATAAAAATCTGATAAGGGGTTTCCTCTCATTTTAAATCACTACAGATAGTTCAGAATGTGATAAAGTAAATAAATACTTTGTTGATGGACTCATTTATTATTATTTTTGTAGAATCAGGCAATTTACTGTAAAAAAAAAAATTGCTTAATCATTATTTCCCTAGCGCTTTTACAATATAGGTTGTCAAAAGAGCTTAACATAGAAGTTCTAGTACATTGAAACTGCTTCAGTCCAGTTTTCATGGATTTCAAAAATTTCAAACAAATTCTCACTGAAAATTACAATTGCATTCAGTGATAAAAAATCTAATTTATTTGATTTTAACTTATCTATATCACTCCGTTTCAATAATAAATTAAAGAGGTGATAAACTACCTCAGTATTTTATTTTTGTACAGTTCCCTGCGGTCTAATTAAAATGCTATTAAGATTATTCCAATCAAAAGCATCACCATTTTTGGATTCCTCGTCAGAACGCTCTGTTTGAATGGGCGTGGCCAATTTTTGACTCCAAAGTAAACGCCCACTGCTCTGATTGGCTAACTGTTTTGCTTATAAATAGGGCCTAACAATCTTATATGAAGGCGGAGCTTATTCCCCCTATTACATCATAGAGTAAAACATACCAGAACTTGTGGTTGTGTCAGCCTGCCTTCAATATAAGCTGTTTTTAAAGGAACCACAAAGTTTTGAGTATTGAAATTTAAAGGAGATTTTTATAATACTATGAGCTCAAATAACCAAAAGAAAATTTTGCTTTCTCAGTTCATGAGCCCTTTAAGGCCGAATACCAGCTCTACCTTTACCCACTGGCCCTTAAGTAGAGATAAAAAAATATTCCCCTAAGAAATGGGACATCACTACTTTATTTTTTTTCAATTCAACACTGTTTGTTTTCAGCTCAAAAGCATATGACCCTCTGGGTTACCTGTTATGACTAAGATCATGTTGCAAAAATTTTGAAGCACTTACATGTACCCCATATACCTTCAAGCAAAAGAGAATTGGAATGAAAGAGAGGGCTAAAGTGTAAAATTGGACCCTAGTAAAGCTTATTCATAAACATTAAACAGTCAATGTCTTGAGACCTCACCTGGCTCTGTGGAATCTCGTAGTCTGCACCCCAAAACAATGTCATGCCAAGCGAATACATGTGCATCTACAAAATAAAAAAAAGTAAACATATATTATGATGATTGTTGCACATTATTGCATGTAATGTTGCAGTCCTCATTTTAAGCATTTCCAGTTTGTGCGGTCAGCATTTGCGAGCATTTTTCAGGTTTAAAATAGTAAAAATGACAATGACCTCATCATTTATTGTCCCACATGTTGTTTTCAACCTTTATAAGTTTCTTTCTTCTATTTAATACAAAAGACTTTAGTTTGAAGAATACTGGTTGCTGTCAATCCATTGAAATATACTTAACAGGTATTTTTTATAAATGGAGCTTTTTCCCCCAAATTCGCTTTAAAAAATAAATCTCTGTCTACATGAAAATGCAAAAACGCAACGCGGTGCATGTTAACGAGCACATCAAACTAACAAGTGCCGATAAAAGCCTATTATGCTGAGTTCACAACAAATAAGGAATTAAGTATTTGCATGAGTACATTGCGCACAAGTGAGAAATTTGGTGCGAACGGAAATGTAATATGCAATGCGTTTCCCGCAAATGTGCGAAATTTGCCTCAATTGCATCTTCTGTGTTTGGTGTGATCCCAATCATGCACAGAGAGCACGCTTATGTCATGAGGCAAAAACTGTGGCTGTAGGGTCCACATGACCACACAGTACCCAGAGTTTCAGAAAATCTTTGCCTTTGTCAGAGTTTAGAAAGTTTTGGCTTCAGTTACCTAAAAAACTGTGTTTATTTAAGGTTTGAAGCTCATTTAACGGGACGGTTCACCCAAAAAAATGAAATTGTCATAATTTACTCATCCTCCAATTGTTTTATTTTAGTGCGGACAAACAGCTAAACAGAGTAGAAAAAACCCTGAAAATTGACATGTTCTTGTGGTCAGGGCTTCAATGGGTGCCAGTTACCATCATTCTTCAAAATTGATATAAATTGTATGTTTTGTAATGAATATGAGGATATGGTTTCAGTGTTCGAAATGGGAAAATGAACTTTTTGGCTTTACTATCTTTCCTAATCAAGAAAAAAATTGTTTTTAATAATTTTCTTAAATTGTTAAAACAATTTCACATTTATGAATGTAAATTGACTAACAAGAAACCCAATTTTAAGGTATTGGTGACTGAAATATGCTTCTATATTGCCAGTATCAGAGACTCTCTAATCTAGAAAGTCTGCATATTTGTTAGCTGCACATCAATGATAAGAATCTCCTGTTCCCTCACATCTCAAAGGTGATCTATTAGATTAAGTCTGGTGACTGTGGAGGCCATTTGAGTACAGTGAACTCATTGTCATGTTCTTTATGACATGACGCTGTATCCTACTAAAAGTAGCCACCAGAAGAGATGGGGTACACTGTGGTTATAAAGGCATGGACATGGTCAGCAACAATACTGAGTTAGGCCATTCTCCTCTGACCTCTGGCATCAACAAGGCATTTTTGCCCACAGAACTGCCGCTCACCGAATATTCTCTCTTTTTCCATTCTTTGTAAACCCTAGAGATGGTCGTGCGTGAAAATCCCAGTAGATCAGCAGTTTCTAAATTACTCATACCAGCCTGTCTGGAACCAAAAACCATGCCACGTTCAAAGTCACTTAAATCACCTTTCTTCCCCTATCTAGTGGTCGGTTTGAACTAGGGTTGTAACGGTATGAATTTTTCACGGTATGATAATCGTCTAAAACAATACCACGGTTTGACGGTTTCGCGGTATACGGTATGTTACAAATGTTACAAAATAATAGAACAGTGAAGCAAATTTGACTTTTTCCAAATAATATATTTTTAGTTACTATAAACAACACCACTTACAATGAACAAATAAAAATAAGAAAATAATAAATAATGTGTCAAAGTCCAAATAAAGTCCAAATAAACATGGTGCAAATCCTCAGTAAAAAATAGATATAAATATTTACTATACTATAAATAGTTACATAACGAAACTAGATTCAATATGGAACATGCTTAGGTTTTATGTGCCAGCATGGATATGGTTGTCTATCGATATGGATTTGGATATGGTTGTCTGCAATGCAGACAAACAGCTGCATCTTCATTTGCGTCTTTTGAAAACAGCAAGAGCAGCAGTTCGTCTTTGCTGTGTCACTGTTTTGTCATGTTTCTGTGCTGCTGTGCATGCAAAAGTACTTAGTATGAGAATTATTTCATGCAAAACTTTTTTTTTTGCGTTTTATTTAGCCGCGCATAAATGTATGCCTTTCTCTCATTCCGTGTTGTTCAAAACGCTTGGTCCACAAACAAAAGCGAAACCTATGCTTATTGGTTGTGATATAGCGAGTTTGAACCAATCTGGGCATGGAGGAGGGACAATGCATCAATGTATCATGTCTGATTTGTCCGGAGACATAGTGACGAGCGTTTCTTTGTCAAATCAGCGTTGTCAAATGTTGATGACGTAACCGCACTGATTCCGGAGCCTCTGAGTCCGCGAATGTTATGTGATACAGCACTGGAAAGCTGAGATTCTCTTCTTTATGCCAATCTTTGAATTGTATGAATCGGATCAGCGGATCAAAAGTTATTAAACATTTAAGAGCAATACTTATTTTTAGCTGCTGGGCGGCTGTCTCGGTCTTTAAGGGTTAAAACCGTTGATATGCAATTGTTCATGGTATGATAATCGTGCACGTTCAAATCGTGGTAAACCGTCAAACCGGTATATTGTTACAACCCTAGTTTGAACTGCAGCAGATCGTCTTGACCATGTCTACATGCCTAAATGGATTGAGTTGCTGCCAAGTGATTAGCTGACTATAAATTTGCGTTAACAAGCAGTTGGGCAGGTGTATCTAATAAAGTGGCCAGTGAGTGTATGTACATTTTGTATATTCGTATTTTATTTAAACTTTCCCACTGACATGTATACTTTAGTATTCTAAGATGTTATATGCTGTGCTTTAAATATCAAAGAAAAAAAACATTCTTTAAAATATCTTCTTTTGTGTTTAACAGACAAAAACTAACTCTAATCGTCTTTTCTGGGTGAGACGTCCCTTTAAATGAGCTTCAAACTTTGCATAAAGCACATCTGCATAGTTTTGTGTTCTTCCCCGTCTAGTTCTACTGTCTGCTGTCTCTCCAGCTAAAGAACAGCTCTGGGAACAGATTATCCGAGAGTGTGCCAGAGAATGCAAAAGACTTTTCTGCAAATGATCATGCCTCGCCTCAGCGCTGGTCTATCAGTCTCTCTCTAGGAAGTCATGTTTACACAAAAGCGTATACCATCAAAACATTGTAAGAGCTCAAATGTTTCTGCATATATGTTTTGGGGATATAAAAGGAAATCAACAAAATTTTGAAAATCACACCTTTTCCATGTCAGAAAGCGAGGATAGGTTGAGGCCGTCCAGCACCTCTGGAGGAGTGAAAGCGCGCAGGTCTTTCTGTGTGACATTCTCATCAGTGAAAGAGATGTTTCCGGAAGGCATGAGAAGCAGCGACCACGGAGAGATGATAAAACCCAACGCTGTCGGATCCGCTGAACCTGAGGGGAATCAAACATGAAGAATATCAGAACAATCAAGACCACAAACTGAATTATTAAAAAAAGCATGGACAGAAACGTTGTTCAGATAAAAACACAATTGGGATGGATGGACGGAATTATATTCAAAGACATATCAGATTGATTATGCAGATGGCAGAATGAACAATAGACAAACAGACAGAACAATAGACAACAAAACCACAGAACGGCGGAATGACAAATAGAACATAAAAAACAGTTGAAATATATAGCAGATAGACAGGTCTGCTCTAACAATTGACATATAGAATGATATGAGTGACTGTCAGTCTTAAATCAGTATCTGTTCTATTGATCCTTTAACTTTGAATATCACTCCCAAGCTGCATTCCGCAGGTTCCTAGTGCCTGCCCCATGAGAAATGTATTTTTGGGCTGCTGTTTTATGGCCCATTTCCACTGAGTGGTACGGTATGGTACGCTTTTATGGCCGTTTCCACTGTCAAAAAGCGTACCGAACCGTACTGTATCACTTTTTCGTCACCCTTTCGAAAGGGTACCAAACTGAGAAAGGGTACCAAAAGATGGAGCTACACGCGCAGCTGAACGCTGATTGGTTACAGAGATATGTCACGATCTCGTGGAGCTAGACAGAATGAAAACAAAGGAACCACCATGTTCTAATACACAACCGAGACATTACAAGCAAATCCTATATGCATATAATAACGAGACATGTATGACCCGGGCTCAAACAAATCTTGTCATTGTCTTGATGAACAGCCACAAAGCCGAGAAGAACAAAATCTGCCGTGTCCTGTTGTTGTTTGGCGAGGCAGTCTGAAAGTGCAGGCGTTTTTTCGCTTTCTCCAGGGAGATCGCGATCGCGTCTATATTTGAAATAATGAACTTCTTGAGCTGATGATAATAACGTGTGCGTGATTATTAAAGTGTCTCCGTCATATGATCCATTCAGAAAGAAAAGGACAAATGCGAGAGTGAAGCGCGAAAAAAAGGAGAAGCCCAACAAAACACAGGAGCAAATTGTTTCAGCAACCTGAATCATAAACAAACTGCCATGTTTATCATCACCTTTTGGACTATTATGAACTCGGAATGACAGAATTACTCTCTAACAGAAGCTACATGTGCCGGTGAAGATACAGACACAGATAAGAGGTTTCCAGGGCTATGTTGTGTGTTGTTTTTGAACTCAAATAAGGACTTAATGTATGCTGTGTGTAGTTAATCTGTAATTGGTAACATATTGGAGACTGTAAGGGTCTGTATGTGTTCATATATGTTGCATTTCTTTTGTTTATTTATTTTATATAACAAACTGCACCAAGAAGGAAAACGAACTCCAGTGGGGTTCAACTGAACTAATTAAAGGAGGTATGAAAACACCCAAAGTTTACTTATATAACCCTTTTTGTTGATTTTTTCAAATAACTTCCTATTAAAATATCATTACAATGAAATAAAATGACTCATTTACTTGCAGAACGACAGGTAGCCAAGCATAATAGATCTGCTGAAAAGAAAGATAGACTGACTAAAGATAGACGGAAAGAAAACAAACCAAAAAATAATTATGAGGTTGCTTTTTATGAAGTTGCTTTGGCAGTGCTTTCCTAACCTGTCTAGCTTTGGCTTTGTAAAGTGTCACAAACTCCATTGTGTACAAAGAATTTGTAAGATACTTTGAGTCGTGAGTTCTTAAGCATGGGAAAGTTACCAGACAAGTTAAGGGAGATTATGGCCTTGGCCTAAGAACATTTCCTCGACACGAGTTCAGCACGATCCCACTGTTTCCGCACGTTTCAGGAGATTTGCTGGTAGAGAGCAAATTCTTTTCAACTGGACTAAGACGTGTAATAAAGAGCTACATTATTCTGTGAATGAGGGCAATTTCCTTGAAATATGAGGCTCTTGGGATCTCTCAAAAAGATGATTCTGTATGACAGTACATTTTTCTTTTCTGATGTTTTTTTCCACACTTCTTTTGTGCTGCGGTTGCAAAACAATAGAGCCTTTGCAGATCAGAACAGAGCCCTGCGGTTATCCTTGGAACAGCTGTAGAGAAACGATTCATCTACTACATATGAAGATTCAGTGGAAATGTGGAATTGCTTTTTAGAAATGTGGTTGTATTTTTACATGCCATATAAAGCCCAAAACCTAAAAGGATGTATAAATAAAAAACTTTTCATTTTAATTTTTTTGCTTTTTAGAAATGTAGTTGTTTTTTTACATGTCACATAAAGCCCAAGATCTCCCAAAATACTTTTTATTTTTATTTTTAATTAATCAAGGATAAATTAAATTGGTTAAATGTGACAATAAAGGCAATGTGAATGTAAAAAGACACCATTTCTATTACAACTTTATAGAAAAAATGCATCACAAAAACATTAAGCAATTGTTTGTTTTTTGTTTGTTTTTTGTAAATATTAATAATATTTAACATTGTTTCAGAGCACTAAATCCACAACCAAGAAAGATTTCTGAAGGACTAATAACAAAAATCCAGCTTTACTTCATACAAATGAACTACGTTTAAAATTATATTAAACATAGATAAAAAAGGTTTTTAAATCGCAATAATAATCATTTTTAGCATGTTTAATCAATATTTTAACCATCAATTTTAAACACAAAGCAAAATAACAGACAGTGCCAATTTTTAATAATGACAAAGAAAATTAAATAATAGTAATAATAATAAGCTAATAAATAAAAAAATTATAAATTAATTAAAGTGATAATAATAATAATAATAATAATAATAATAATAATAATAATAATAATAATAATAATAGGTAAATACATAAAAATATAAATGTATTAATTAATTAAAAACAAAGTGATATATTAATAATAGTTATAATAATAATAATAATAATAAGTAAATAAGTAAATAAATAAATAAATATTAATTAATTAATTAAAAACAAAGTGCTACATAGGATAATAAAATAAGAAGAAAATAAATAGATTAATTAATAAATTAATCAATTGATTAAAAACAAAGTGATAAAAAACCATAATAATAATAACAATAATAAACAAATAAAAATAAATAGATAAATGTTTAAAAAACAAAGTGATAATAATAATAAAAATTAATTATGACATCTTTAATGTTTTTTTTACATAAAAATGCAGACTAAGCAAGCTTAAGTAACGCATTTAAAACAAACTAATTAATAAATAAAAAATCTAAAAAGTAATGCATTTTTTTAACCATTTACATCACTAGCTCAAATAAGCTGTTTTGCAGTCTATAATAATAGCATGCTTAAGATTAGGGGTGTGTTCAAACAAACATATTAACATCATGAATATAAAAAAAAAAAAAAAAAAAAAATATATATATATATATATATATATATATATATATATATATACATATTATTATTATTATTATTAAATGTCAGAAATAGGACAAGAAATTTAAGCAGCAATGTTATAAAAACGCTGGAATTCCCAAAGTAAACACACGTTTCCTGTGGAAACTGTCTGACCACGGTTGGACCTCATTGTGAAAGTCTAGCTGAGCATACTCTTGTTTCGCCTGAGGCACAGAAGCTAATCCAGCATCTTTATTAAAAACACTCTACTCATCGACCAACACAAACAGCATCTTTCTTAGACAGAATCTCTTTCTTAGAGATTTAACACAACAAATTCAAAATGAAAGCAAGAAATCTTAGCTTAATAAAATTAAAATAAGGTTGAGCTGTTAATGTGAGAATGGGAAATATGTCAGAAGGGCTCAGCTCTGATAAGGTTTAATCAGTTCTACCAAAGACTAGACTGGTCAACCTATGAAATACACAAACTCAATGAGGTCACCACCAAAAATAGCATCACAAAGTATCCTTAGAAAAGAGAAGAACATGAATATAAATACTGCCCCACACACACCACACTGTAAACAAACACGTTGTACCACTGTATATAGAAGAATTACATTAAATAAAGTGATAATACAGAATCAAATGCGCAGCTTATTGACTTGGGTGTGTGTTTATTTAGTCAGTATCAGTTTTGTTTATTTTAGATGCATAAGATTACTGTGTACGAACAACCAACCCAATGACCTAAATATTCATTTTCAAGTACAGGAAGTGGAGGCATCTTTACTTGCATTATTCGTATCAGTTGCTAAAAAACATTGAAGACACACTTCACTTTTTCGAAAATAGGCTTATTTTACAACTCCCCTAAAGTTAAACTTTTGAGTTGTACCATTTTTTAATCCAATTAGCCGATCTCTGGGTCTGACGCAAGCACTTTTAGCTTAGCATAGATCACTAAATCAGATTGGACCATTAGCATCAAGCTCGAAAATGACCAAGAGTTTTGTAATATCTGTGTAATATCATTGTACCTGCTGCAGCCATGATACAGCAGCAATGTTCCTTGGTTATTACGTCAGAATAAGAATATTGCTCTTAGCCACATTGGTGTAGAAAAAATAATAATAATAATTTCTGTCAATCTCAGTACACAATGTACCTACCCAATTATCAAGCTATAAATTAGAAAATTATTGAATGTCTTGGTCATTTTTAAGCGAGATGCTAACAGTCTTATCCGATACAATAATCTATGCCCACTAAGCTAAAATGTGCTCCCGCTAGACAAAAAGATCAGCTAAATGGATACAAAAATAGTAAAAAGCAATTGTTTAACTTAAGGGAGGTTGTAAAATTTTTAAAAAACAAATTGGAGTGTTTAGGCATAAAATGATAACCGGTTTCAAGTTTTACCACAGTTTGAAAAATCACAAGATGCTAATGGTCTAATCCGATACAATGATCTATGCTAAGATAAGTTAAAAGTGCTCCTGCTAGACTAGAAGATGGGCTGAATGGATTAAAAAAATTGGTAAAACACAACTTTTTTAACTCTAGAGAAGTTGAAAAATTAGACTATTTTTAACAAAAAAGAGGAGTGTTCCAGTAAAAATGTGATGTTAAAGCTGTATGTCTATTAGGCATAAAATGATAA